GCGCGACCCTCAGGGCGCTCAGACGCCCATCCAAAGGGGCCCAACTGGCGGGTGGCCTCCATGCAGCCCACTCGGTCGGGGGGGGCGGGCGGCCAGGCCCAAGACAGCCCCCCGCCCGCCCGCCGCGACGTCTGGCGAGCCGGGAGACGGCTCAGCCGGCCGGGCGCGCAGCCCCGCGGCGCCTTAGCGGGACGGCAGCGGAGGACCTTGCTTGCCTCGCCCGCCGCTCTCGGAGCGAAGGCTGCGGCGGTAGAGGGCGCAGGGACCGGGCGCCCTTTGACGGCGCGGACCACCCTCCGGCCTCGCTCCTCCCTCGAGGAGGGCCGCCCCCCGCCACAAAAGGGCCGCCCCGCCCGTGCGGAGGGGCCGAGCGCCGAGTCCCGCAGCTGCCGCCGAGGGGCTGCCAGGCGGCGCGTCCCGGCCTTCCCTCGCTTTCCCGAGCGGCCGTCGGGTGCCTCTTCGCGTAACCCGCCTCGCCGTCGATCCGCCCTCGCGGCCGCCGCGATGCTGCCCGGGCAGCCCGAGAGGGCGCCGCCTCCTCCGCCTCGCCGCGGCTGAGGGAGACCCAGGCTCTTCCGACGCCCCGCGCCCTGCCGAGGGAGCCGCCCGCCATGGCCCGCGCCCTCCGCCTCCTCCGCCTCCTCCTGGCCCTGGGTGAGCGGCCGCAGCCCCGAGAGGCCGGGGGGGGGGGAGCCCTGCGGGCGGGCGGGCAGGGCGGGCGCGGGCGGCTTGGAGCGCCCACCCGAAACTTTCGTGGGAGCTCCGGGGGGGGGGACGGAGCAGCTGGCGGCTTTGCGCCGGGGCCGAGGAGCCCCGAGGGAGGCTCGTCCTGCGGCGGAGGGGTGTGGAGGACGAGGCGGGGCGCGGGCCGAGCCTCCCACTTCTCGCTGCCTCCCCGCATCTTTCGCTCCCCCCGCCGCCCCCCCAGGGAAGGCAAGAAAGGAGGCCGGGGGGAGAGATGGGGGGCAGCCCGTAAGAGCGCAACGTTTAGTTCCCCCGGCTCGGAGGGAGAATGGCGAGCTCCAGTTCTGGCCTTCGGCGCCAGCAGGACCGGCTGGTGAGTCTTGGGACGGGCTGCGGGCTGGACTGCGGGGCCACCAGAGGCTGAATGCCGGAGGAAGACGAGGCGACTTCGCTGCCCGCGGCTCGGCTCGACCTCCCTGGGGACGGGAGGCGGCCCAAGGCAGCTGCTCCCTGCTCGCCCCTTCGCAGCCCCTCGGAGGGCTGGGCGGCTGTCGTGAGGCAGCCACTCGGTCTGCCGATGGCCGGGGCGGGCTGGGAATCCCGGTTCCCGACTTGGGCTCCGCAGGGAAAGGGTGAGATGCTTAGCCTGGGCCCGGCCCTCCAGGCAGCCGAGGCCTGGCGTTCCCGGTTGCTCCGCCCCTTCCCCTGACCGGGAGGCGGCGGCGGCGGCGGAGGGCCCAGGGCAGAACCCGACGGTGGAATTTCAGACATGGAAGTTTGTGGTCCCGTCTAATCCCGGGAGGCTTCTCGGCTTGGGGACCAGACGGGCACCAGACGGGCATCCCAGAAGGGAGCGCCCCTGCGCCCAGCTGCCCCGTCTGCAGCAGCAGATGGGCTTCCCTGCAGTGGCCGGGCTGGGCAGGTTCTCTGCCGGGCAAGGAGCTTTTGCTGGGAGCCAGGTCAGAGCAGCCCTGGGCTTTGGGGTGGGAGAGATTCCTCTGGAGATGTGGATGTCACCCCTGGAGGAGGAGAGAGAGGCGGACTCTGGGCTGGGAATGCTGCAGCATTAACAGGACCTGCGGTGGGACCAGGACTTTGCGTCTTAGGTGTACAATTGACAGCAGAATGACAAAAGTGCCCTTTAGCCACCATGAAGCAGGAGGGTTATGTCTGGAAATGTGGGATCCTTTTACGTAGAAAACCCACAACTGCTCTAAGGACATTAAAAGGCTTAGTGCTGGCCCTTGGACCTCAAAGCTGGATCACGGCTACAAGCAGCCTCTCAGGCCATCGAGCTGCAGCAGGAGGGCAGAAATGGCGTTCCTGGTAGGATTTGGCACCCGTGTTCTGGTGTCCATACTTTTTGCATTGCTCTAGTTCAAGAAGGGATTTGAGATTGCTCTGGGCAATGCTCCTTCTGCAGTTGGCTGTTCCTCTCTTATTTTTCCCTAGTTGATGCATCCTGGGCTGCTGCGGCCAGTTCTGGGCCCCTTATTTTAAAAGAGACACGGAGAGGCTGGAGTGTGTCTGAAGAAGAAAAATGCTTAGAAGGAAAAACTGAGGAGGATCAATTGGCACCCCTGGAAGGGTTTAGTCTGGAAAAGAGAAGATGTGGTAGCTCTCTTCAAGCATCTGAAAACTTGTCCTGTAGATTAGAAGATGAGAGAATTTTCCAAATACGTTCCAGGACAGAAAAACGTGGGATTTAACGCATGGGCAAGAGGACATCAGGAAAATGTCAGGGGGTGGTGATAGTGGTGGGCTTTCCGTTTGCGGTAAAGAGAAGTTGATGGCTCTTGGCTCTGGGTTCCTGCTCTGGGCAAGGATGGGGACGGACCACCCAGCCTGTGCTTGTGGGTAATGATGATGCAGTTGGGGGATCTTACGCTTTCAGGGAGGCATCAGCACAGAGCTCTCTTAGCGGCACCTGCCACAGCCAGAGGTCCATCGACTGCTTGGAGTCCTGCGTTGGGTTAGCTCTCGCACTCCTGGCGCTGGGAAGACCCTTTCCCCAGGAAGCGTCCTTTAACACCCCTGGCGTGGCTGCCTGGTTGCCTCTCGCTCCGCTGGCCGGCATCAAGAGCTCCCCTGCCTGGGTGGCTGCCTTGGCTCCCTTGTGGCCCCCCTCTCAGTTTTGCCCGTGGATGTGGGCTTTCGGGCCGACCTGGCTGCCTCCAGGCTTTACCCTCCAGTCAGAGTTGCTTTGTGTGCAGCTTTGGGAACCGCCATTTGCAGAAGACCAGATCGGGGGCTTCAGCATCAGAGGAGGCAGCGGAGATGCTGGGTTTGGGGTTCCAGGGTTCTCATTGCTGTTGTGAGCTGTCCACAGTCCTGCTTCTTAGGATAGGCGGTCAGGTTGGTTTTTGAAATGAATAATTTCAAAATTATTATTGAGGGCTTGGCCAGAGAATTCAACCTGCCCCGGATGACACTGGCAGAGGAAGCTGCACCTCTAGGCCACCCCAGTGTCCCCTTTGTTGCCAGCCTGCTGGGACGGCCGGGCTGGAAGCCCTGTCTCCCATCCCCTGCGGGGGCTGCCTGGTGGGCAGGCCGATTTCAAGGCTGCCAAGAAGGAGCTGTTTCCTGACCACAGTTTTCGGCTGCTGCTGCTGCTCCTGCTGCTCCTGCTGGAGGCAACTAAATGCGTTTCTGTCTAGTGCCGCTTGGGGAGGGGGCTGCAAAGCCCCCAGAAGCCAGGAAACCTTCCCTGCAGCAGTGCTATCAATTGCCACTATGGTTATTGATGCAGAAGCGTCCCTTGGAAAGGCCTTTCATGTTGACACTGGCCCCTCTTCAGCTGCCAGGCAGCCGGACCTTGTGCAGCGGGAGATCCAGATGTGTGGCTGTGCAAGGCTTGCTTTTCAGCAGGCAGAAGGAAGGGGGGAAATGCTTGAGTGGCCCCTGACCTTCCTTGTGCTGGCAACTGACCTCTGCCCCATTCTGAGGTTTGCGAAGGGCATGGCCTCCTGCAGCCTCAGCTGGGTGGAGACTCCCTCATTCCCAGCCAGGCCTGTCCTGACACTAAGCAGACGTTCCCTCCCGGGAGGCGGCTTTGGGCTAGCCTGGCCCAGAAAGATCAAGGTGAGGTGGGGCCGGTTTTCTCAGAGCCCCCCCAGCAGAGTGACCCAGAAATGGGGGGGGGGCTCTTGTTCCTTGCAGCCTGCAAAAGGGTTGCTTGGGCAGAGGGGGCAGGGGCTGGAGAAGGGGAGGGCCACCTTCTTAAGCCTCTGCCTGTCGCAGCTCAGTGGGGCCATTTCTGTGCCTGGGACAAAGTGTGTGTGGCACCAGGCGGGGCCTCACGTTCTTTCTTTTGCAGACTTTGCTCAGAGCTCCCCAGCTGCTCTTGCTCTAGAGGCAGTTGCTCGTCTTACTCGTGAGGAAGGGAGTGGAAAGTCTTGATTTGGGTGGCCGCAGAGTGTCCGGAGGCCTGCTGGGAGGGCCCCCCTTCCCTCCTCAGAGGAACTCAGCTGCGCAGGGGGGATAGTTGGGACCAAGGGCAGAGGAGTCCAAGAGAAGGAACCCCATCCGCCTCCCTTCCGCCTTCCCTTCCTGGATCCCCTCTTGCTGTCATGCAAGCCACTTCCGGGGTGCTGGGGGTGGTCTCGGGTCAGCCAGCCTACTTTCCCTACTTTCTCCGTCTCTAAGACAGGGAAGGGTGTGATTCCAGGTTTGATCTCCTGACCCTTCTGGTTTCTGCCCATTCTGCAGATTAACAGGGTTCTATTTGGGGGGAGGGGAATCTCCGTCAGTGACCCAGAAGAAGAGTCTTGGGCCAGCTGGAGGAGTGGGGGGAACTGCTGCTGCTGTGTCTGCCAAGGCAGCTGAGGGCGCCTATAGCCCAAAGCAGCCCCGTTGTCCCCCCCTCCCCCTGCTTCACTGCAGGTAGTCTGCTTTCCTTTCTACATCAGCCTCCCTCTCTTTGGCTATTTGAGTTCCCCATGTCCTTTTGGGCCCACCTTGAGAGGGTGCCCACTGGGCGGTAGCCCCAGCCTGGGAAGACTGCCAAAGGGGGCTGGAGGAGAGCTGTTTTTCAGGGCTGAGGATGGTCTGGAAAGCACGCGAGGGTCCCTTAGCTTCTCCAGGAGGGCCAAAGTGAGGGCGATTGAGGTGAACTGGGTGGGAGGCTGGTGAGGTGCCTGCAGGAGTCCTGATCTGGCTCCTCCCTGCCGGATTGTGGACGGACGGGGGGGTCAGAGAGGAAGTCCTGGAGGGTGTTGGATGCTGGAGGAGACCACATGCGGGAGTGGGGGGAGATGGCACCGGCTGCCCTGAGGATCTGCCCTGATCCTGACATGGAGGTTCTTCTCTCTCTCCAGGCAGAGTGCTCCAGGCCTGGACTGAGCTTTCCTTGCCAGCCACCCTGGGTGGGCCCAGTTGGCAGAGCCCTGTGGACTGTGCCCACGCCAGCGAGCTTTGTGCTGCTGAGGCCGGCTGCAGCTCAAGTTACCGCACTTTGCGACAGTGCCTGGCTGGCCGAGGCCACAACACCCTGCTGGGCAACAAGGAGTGTCGGGCGGCACTGGAGGTGCTGCAGGGAAGCGCTCTGCATGGCTGCCGCTGCAGGCGCAGAATGAAGAAGGAGCTGTCCTGTCTGCAGACCTACTGGAGCCTCCACCGGGGCTTGGCTGGGGGTGAGCCCGGGGCTGGGAGGGTCCTGGGATCTGGGCGGCAGGGGGAAACATGACATGTAAGCTATGCACACCCCCACACGGGGACCGGGGGCTTTGCCCCAGTTGTGAGATGCAGGATGCACCCTGCGACGGCTCTGCAGTTGTAGAATTGCCGTCCAGAACTGATGCTGGTTCCGGTGCTTCTGCTGCTAGCCATGCCCTCTGGGCCCCCCTGCCTAGGTGCTGCCCAGGACACCTTCCTGTCTGCTGCTTGATGGAAGCTTTCAGCCCAAGTCAAGATTCCTGCCCCCCCCCCCCCAGTATCAGTTGGCTTGGCAAAGCCATTGCTAAGAAGATGGAATGGCTTGTCCTGGATGCTCTTTGGGGTAGACCCCTGACCCTGGCTGGTGGAAGCTGCTCCTGTTCTTATTTCAACAGTGTTGCATGAGAAAGCCCCCTCCCCCAAAAGCCTCACTGCCACGGTTGGGACAGCAGCTGCTCCTAGAAGACCCCGGAGTGGACGGTGTGACTTGCAAGGCTGATCTGGGCATGGTGAAGGGGAAGGTCTGACCCACCTACCCCCTTGGGATGCCGAGGGATTGGCCCCCAGGTTACTTCTCCTTTCTCACCTGCCCCCAGAGAGGTTTCCTCTTCAAGCTCCCCCCCTTCCTCATGGAGCCAGACCTCCCTCTGATGGTCAGGAAAGTCGAAGCTCCCCCCCCTGCAGCCGATGGGAAGGCATCCCGCGTCTCTTTGGTCTTTGGTCCCGGTGCCCAGCACTTGCCCGGGGAGGCCGAGACAGTCCCTCTCTTCCTCTGCTGCTGTAGCAATGACAAGCTCAGCCAGAGGGGCTGCAGGATGGAAAACGCGCCCCCCCTTTTGGGTAGAAAAAAAATACCTGGCAGGAGCAGCCAGCAGCCCTGGGCAGAAAGTGTATCGGCCTCCCCCAGCTTGATCTGCTGCCCCACTTCAGTGGGAGCACTCCCCAAGGACAGCTATACGCTTTCCACTGACTACAGTTGCTGGGGGTGATGGGGGTTGTACTCCCAAAGGTCTGAAGGGGGCTGTCCTAGGTAGGGGCTTCTTTCTGGTAGGGAAATGCAGGTTTTGAGAATGCAGAGGTCCGGGTGGCTATCCGGGCAAGGCCCCACGGCTCCCAAAGCTCCAGGAGCCACAGAAACAGCCCCCCCAGTCTGGCCTCAGTGGACAGTGCAGGTCAAGGAGTAGGGCACCCCCGGTTTCTCTACGCTTCTCCAGCTCCCCACTTAAGAGGAGCCCATCTCTACCCTGCCCACTAACCTCCTACCTCTTGCAGTTATTCCAGGCCCGACTTGGTGCAGGTGTTAATTTTTCCCTTCTCTGTCTCCAGGAGAAGAGTTTTATGAAGCTTCGCCCTACGAGCCCATCAGCTCTCCTCTCTCTGATGCCTTCAGACTTGCTTCAATTGTCTCAGGTACTTTGAAAAAAGAATGGAAGCAGCTACTTCCTCATCCACCTGTTTCCCCCTAAAATGTTAGCTGCCTCTTTGTCCTCTGTCCTCATTCTGCAACAGTAGGCCTCATTCAAGAGGAAGCTTGTGGCCACAAGTGTCTGTCTCAAGGCGCCCCTCTGCTTTTATTGCATCTGCTGATAGCTGTGCAGCAGCCCTGTTTGGAAGACCTGGTCTCTATTACATAGGGAGCCCCCCCCCCAACATTCACCAGGGAATATGATTCAGGTGATCTGGTGGATAAAGTTGCTCAGATTTACTCTGCTATGGACGCTGATTGGGCAGAACAGACTGAGGTTCCTGGGTTACAACCTGGTGGAGTGATCTGGGATGAGTTTGAGCTACTGACTCCTGAGGAAACTCTCTGTGCTGTCAACTTGGCCACTTGTTTACTGGATCTGGAGCCCTTCTGGGTGGTGAAAGCAGCCGGTCTCTTTGATGGAGGGGGTGAGGCCCCCAACTTGGAAGAGGTAAAAGTGTGTCCCAAAGGTGCTTTTTCAGGAGGCAGTTGGACTTTCTTGTTTTTCTTTGAAGATGTTTCGCTTCTCATCCAAGAAGCTTCTTAAGCTCTGACTGGATGGTGGGGCTGTGGAAGAATTTATACTGCTTGCAGACAGATGGTCATTTGCATTCTTTCAGAGAGCCATTGAGGCCATTTAGAGGTTTACCTGTGTCCTGAGCAATGCAAATGGGTGTGGAGCCTTCTTGGTTGCAGGACGTTTTCTGTCCTGGGTCCCGTCACGGCCGAAGACAGGTGCAGGCTGTTGGGGATGAGTCTGTGCTGTCTGAATCTCAGACTGAAGCGCAAACGGTTCCTGTCGTCTGCAATGTTTTCTGGAAATCCGTTCATATTCTCTCACCATTCGAAGGGTGTTTCATCCCAAAATGCATAGCTAAATGTCTATGGAGATTCTCAAGTCATCCAGGTATGGTTGTCTCACACACTTGCAATACAGAGACAAATTTCCCCCACAAATCTCAGCAGCTTTGGCTTATAAGAGTTGCAAATCAAAGTGGCACACGGGAAAGCAGTCAGGCAGAGAGCATCAGAGTTTGTAACAGATTTCCCAGCTGGCCCAGCTTCATGGTTGTGAGGTTCACAAGTCCAGGCACATGGAGTGGCCGTTAGTGGGCAGTTGTCATCAAGGGAGAGCTTGTTCCTCCTGCTCCATTTAATAGAAACAGCCCCAGTGTAGCTCCTTGGTGGGGCGAGACTCCTTCCGCACAACCAGTCTTGCAGACCGCCTTTGCTCTCCTCTTGTGAGGAATGCTGCCTGTGGAGGAGGAGATGGTGTGAAGGGCTGCAGTGAAGCGCAGGTTCCCAGGAAGCAGGGAGCACATGTCAAGGAGGGGTGGGTGAGACAGGAGGCGTCACAGCCCAGAGCCGGATCGGAGACAGAGGAAGAGATTTTGGACAGCCGCTCCCTAGAATCTCCCAGGGTGTGTCCATTGGGGTGAGACTAATAAAGGTTTAATCTGGCAAGATTCTGTCTATTTGGTGTAAGTAGATAAAGAACTGAACTCCGACTGGGCTGTTCTTAGTCATTCTTGGACTGGGCCTGACAACTCTCTTTGCAGCCTGCCAAGCTCTTGCATTGGGAGGGCGGAAATGCATCTTCAGAGGACCACAGGAGCCATGTCTGCCGGTTGCTGTTTTGCCCCACCCCCTCTACCGCCTCCCTTCCCCCATGGCAGCCTTGGTGCACCTGGTGGCATGGCTGCCAAAGCACAGGGCTCAGTCTGTGGTTTCTGAAGGCCCCCCGTGGCCCTTGGCCCACTGCACCCCAAGGTGAAGGCAGTTCACGGTGTGGCTCCATCTGATCCAAAGGGCTCCCAAAGCAGAATAGATGGGGGGGGGCTGGTTCTGGTTCTGGGTCGGCTCTGCCCTGCTCTGACCGGGGCCCCATTGCAGGGAGAGCTTTTGGCTGGCAAACTGCTGTTACTTGGATGTAAGTGGGAGGCACTGTTATGCAGTGGTTCTCCTCCTTCCTCACCGACCGTACGCAGTCTGTATTGGCAGGGGGACAGAGGTCGACTCCCAGGCCCCTAACTTGTGGGGTGCCTCAGGGGTCGGTCCTCTCGCCCCTACTGTTCAATATTTATGTGAAGCCGCTGGGAGAGATCATTCGGGGCTTTGGGGTGGAGTTCCAT